AGTACTGGATTCCTTGCGTCTGGTTCACCAATCTGGCAGCCCAGGCCCGGAGGGACGGGCGAATCCGTGATGACATTGCTCTCTGCCTGCTCCTGGAAGTGAGTCAGCCTAGGACAGGATCCATCTGCCCTCCTCCCCCTAGTTTTGCATACTGCAATCATAATTTCAGTGCTTAACACCTACATGGGGTCGATTATGTAGCGCAGCAAGTGTGAGGAAGTGAGGAAACTGAGGCAAGGAGCGGGAAAAAAAAAACTTGCCCAAGTCACACAGCTAGTTAGTGGAGCTGACATTCATCCTCAGAGCTTCTGGCTCCAGGGTCTACCCTTGCAGTCACTGTGCTAAACTGCCTTCCATCACAGGCACCCCAGCCTGACAACACCTCTGAAAGCAGAATGAGACCTAGCCCAGGCCTAAATGTGTACTGGACTCCCCGTCCCCTTCTCCTTTCTTCCTTTCTATCTCTACTGACTTCGTCTTCCTGCTGTTCCACCAGGAGCTGAACAAGTACCGGGCCAAGTGCAGCATGCTCTTCCACTATGACTGGATCAGCATCCCCCTCGTCTACACCCAAGTAACTGCCTCTCACCTCCCCAGCCCCAGTGCCTACTGAATGTCCTGTGCTGTGTGTGACACTGAGAACTAGAGATGGTACCTGCCCAGGGGCAGTTCAGTCCAGTGAGACACTAAATAGCCAAGGGCTCATCCTCAAAGCCTCCCTGGACCCCCACTAAGATGATCCCCTCTGACTTGGTGCTGCCACACCTTGCTACATGTTGTATTTATTTTTTAAAATATTTATTTATTTGGCTGGGTTGGGTCTTCTTTGCAGCATGGGGGAGCTTTAGTTGGTGCATGCGAACTCAAGGTGCAGCAATGTGAGATCTAGTTCCCTGACCAGGGATGGAACCTGGGCCCCCTACATTGGGACCTCACCCCCAAGGAAGTCCCCGCTACATATTTTAATTACTTGTTAGATCTACCACTGACCCTCGGGGCAGAGACAGCATTTTAACCTGTCCCACTCAGCCTGGCATCCCCTCCTCCAGGTGGTGACCATAGCAGTATACTCCTTCTTTGCCCTCTCCTTGGTGGGCCGCCAGTTTGTGGAGCCAGTGGCAGGTGCTGCCAAACCTCGGGAGCCTCTGGAGCCAGGGCCAGCTGTAGGCGATCTGGACATGTATGTGCCTCTCACCACTCTGCTGCAGTTCTTCTTCTATGCTGGCTGGCTCAAGGTGGGCACTTCAGGGGGTGGAGAAATGGACCGAGGACCCACCCACACTTTGGGGTTAGAAAGTAGGGCTCTGAGCCCAGAAAACACTCTCTTACCACCTGCAGGTGGCAGAGCAGATCATCAATCCCTTTGGTGAGGATGATGACGACTTTGAAACCAACCAGCTTATAGACCGCAACTTGCAGGTGATTCAGGGTCTGGTGGCAGCTCCCTGGAAGTCGGGTTCTCCCTCCTTGCCAGCTCTCAGTCCGGGTTCGCAGAGGAGAAGGGGATTCTTGTGACCTGCTGCTCCCAGGTATCCCTGCTCTCTGTGGATGACATGTACCAGAACCTGCCTCCCACGGAGAAGGACGCCTACTGGGATGAGGACTCGGCGCAGCCGCCCTACACAGTGGCCACGGTGGCCGAGTCGCTGCGGCCTTCCTTCCTGGGCTCCACCTTCAACCTGCGGTGAGTAGTCCACGCCGGCCGAGGCAGGACCTGAGTCAGTGGCCAGGCTCCAGTTCCCCGCCCACCCTCTGGGCGCCCAGGACTCGGTTCCTCCCGGTCCCCCTGCTGTCAGAGGCTTGCTCACACAGCCCTCCTGCCTGCCCGCAGCATGAGCGACGACCCTGAGCAGAGCCTGCAGGTGGAGGCGTCCCCTGGGCCAGCCCGGCCGGTGACCGCGCAGACCCCGCTGCTCGGCCGCTTCCTGGGCGTAGGGGCTCCCTCGCCAGCCATCAGCCTCCGGAACTTCGGCCGCGTCCGCGCCCCCCGGACCCCGCATCTGCTGCGCTTCCGGGCCGAAGAGGGCGGCGACGTCGAGGCAGCGGACCGCATCGAGGAGGAGGCGTCAGGGTCCGGGGACGAGACCCAGGAGCCCTGAGCCAATCAGGCGGGGCGGGCCGTGCAGCTGCCTCCCGCAGGCCCGCCCCGGCCCACTTTGCGGGCCCTGCGGAGCTATTAGAGCAGCATTCCCCCGTGCCCCAAGCCCGGGCACCTAGGGACCGCCCCTGATGGCAAAAGGGCCTGAATCAGGGTAGGGGATGCTTCCACGCTGGCTTGGAGGTGAAGCTAGGGCACAAGGGCGAGGCACAGAGGACTAGAGCCCAGGTGCACGGTTTATTTCCGCTGCGATTTGGGGCTAGGCCAGTTCTTAACTTGAGGGAGCATCAGTTATCACTGAAGGGCTGGTTAAAAAGTCTTGGGTACCACCCCCAGCATTTGATTCAAGTCTGGGAGAGAGGTTAAGAATTTGCTATTTCTAGTAGTTTTCCAGGGAATGCTGCTGCTGCCCCCAGGGTCACATAAAAAGATGTTTAGGATATACCTTATTCTGATAACCTCACCCTGAAGAGGGGCCAAAGTGTATACTGGGTACTTTATCTGTTATGTTCAATTTGTTTACAATGAGAATGTAATATTATTTGTGCAATTAAAATTGCTTAAAACTGAACTGGCACACTCTGAAGTGGTCTAAAGATAAGGGTTTGGGGAAAAAAAAGAGGGTTTGTGGGTATGCCCTGGAAGCCGACACTGAGATGTGAAGGCACCCAGCCTAGACTTGGAGCATCTGAACAAGCTCTTCTCTGCTCCCACCGAACAGCGAGAAAGGACAATTCAAGGGGTGAAAACTGCAGGTCCATCTCTGTGGTGGGGGTGGGGCACTCAGCTGATGGGAGTAAGGAGGGGCCTTTGGAAAACAGTCCCACCGAGTACTAGAGTTGTTGCTAAACTGGGTTTCTCCAAGATTCCTGCCTTCTAAGCAATTGGTGAATGCTGAAGCTGAATGTTAAAGCCAAAGGAAAACAAATGCCAAAACTCAAAAACGGAAGGCATGAAGAATGTAGGGAGAGCTTGAGGACATCAGCCTCTGGCATTGTTGACAGGATTACAATGCTGGGTTCTACTTTCCTGCTGGGTGATGGGATACTGAACTTTTCTCAGCCTTGGTTGACAAACCTGTACTGTCCAGAAAAGGCACCTTGTGGTCACCATTCACTCAGAAGGCACCCCGAAGTGTTTTACAGGATTGAGAGAGGAAGTCTTCCTTCAGGTTGAGTGCTCATCAGGGAGAGCAGTGGAGATGTAGATGCATTCAAGGCTCTTTTGTTGCTGTGCCACACCCCAACACACAGCTCTCAGAGCAAACATCAGCTAATGACCAGGTTGTCAGATGACTGGGTGGGAAGGCAGAGGTCAAGTCTCCCCAGAGTCAACGGTTTTAGAGGTTTTAAAGGGTTGGTCTTAGTGGTCCACCTTTTCCGACTGCTTAGTCATAAGCCTGCATTACAGAGTCTGTAATTAGCCAAGTTGATGAACCAATTTAGATTTGCAGCTCATTTAAGACAAGTACTTTTCAACCACTTTAAATTGGACAAAACCTTTTCTTTAGAACTTTAGTACATATTTGAATGGTATATTGCTGTGCCTCTTTCCAGGTACTAGAGATGCAGCAGTAAACGGTTACCTGTTTCCCAGATAGATTTTAATAGAGGGGGCAAAATAAGCAAATAAAAGTTATGCCAAATAAGGAAAAAAATAGAGGCAAAGATATGGCATGGAAGGGAGTGCTATTTAAAAGCAGTATTGTAGGGACTTCCCTGATGGTACAGTGGTTTAAAATCTGCCTTGTAATGCAGGAGACATAGATAGGTTTGATCCCTGGTCGGGGAACTAAGATCCCACATGCTATGGGGCAACTAAGCCCACACGCCATCACAACTACTAAGCCGGTATGTTACAACTAAGACCTGACTTGGCTAAATAAATAAATATTTTTTTTTTAAAGGCAGTATTGTAACAAATTTAATAAAGAAAATGGTTCATATCCAAGAGAAGCTTAAAAAAATGATCACAGAGAGCTGGGGTTGTGTTAGAGGAAACAGAAGCGCAAACAGAAGCGCAAAGTAGGATGCAGAACAGTGACCAGAGCAGCAGTTGTGCTTTCTGCTCAGTTGCCAGCTCTTTTCAACCCTTGGACTGCAACCTGCCAGGCTCCTCTGTCCATGGCATTCTCCAGGCAATATTGGAATGGGTTGACATGCCCTCCTCCACGAGATCTTCCTAACCCAGGAACCAAACCTGTTTCTGTCTCCTGCATTGGCAGAGCAGGTTCTTTACCACTAGTGCCACACAAAATTTGGTGACATTTGATGTGCGAGTTATGACCCAAGGATGACCTAAGATTTAACCTGTCTTACGAAGATCACTATTTGCTACAATCAAATAACTGAGGAACTATGAAAAGGGAAAGCTGAAGAAACCGATTCAACAATTTTAACAAACTTGACTTTTGAGTAAGGAAAAGGGAAAGGATTAGAGTTCAAGAGAAAATTAAGATGTGTATAACTTGCTCAACAATGTAGAAAGGTAGAACACAATTTCAAGGTTTCTAGACCAGGATCCTAAAAAAAAAAAAAAAAAAAACCCAAAACCAAAGTCTGTATACAGGATCTCTAAGAAAACTTTAGGGAGGCAACATGGCTTTGGTTACAATGATGGTCCAGTCAACAGTCCAATACTGCAGGGGCCCCAAGCTGGGTTACCTCCCTCATAGCCTCTGCTCAGCCTGCACAACACATCCCTGTTGCCACTGAAACTCAGCCTCAGGAGTGAGAAGTGTTCCTCCTGCTAGAGTCACAGCCCCATAACAGGCCTGGCCTTCAGGCAGGGGGAGTTGGGGCATTCTATAGTGTGCCAAACAATGAAGTATTCTCAGAACATGAACACGGCATAGAACAGTATACGCCTTTATTAGATGAGCTAAGACAGGAGGGAAGAGGGTTTATTTGCCTTTCCGGGCCTTGATCTTCCTCAGATAGAACTCGAGCTCTTTTCCCTCTAGCACATAGCCGTCTGCTCGGCCACACTGGCCTGGTCTTGAAGCGATGCATGCTGGAAGAGAGTATGTGGTCCTCAGCAAAATGACACTGTGGCCTTACCCACACCTATGCATCCCCTTAAGTGCCCACGTTGGTCCAGGTATCCTGGGGGCAGACACGAAGCCTGATGTCTCCTCAGATGTACTTTATCATCACTTTGAAAGTCAGTAGCAGAACTGGACAAAGTTTTCATCACTGAGACAATCCCCTCCGCTTGGACACAGACTTCTCAAGATACTCCTCAAACTCAAGAGGCCCAGACCAAGCTCAGGCCTATGGGCTCTGCCCACTATCTTCCATTTCCGCTTCAAACTAACCAGATGATCAAATACTCTGATTTGTGCTTGTGTGCTATTATCAAACCCTTCCGGTGAACTCTCTAGCCTCCCCCAGAGAGCACACCGCATCTTGAGATGCCTCCTCCCCTAAATGCAGAAGTCATCTTACCAAGAAGCTTGCCCTGCTGGAACTGCTCCTCTAGAAGACTGCTGATTTTTGCATTCTTTTTCCTCTCATCGTATTTCTTCTGAATTTTCTTTGATCGTTTCTTGTTTAAAATCTCTTCCTCCTCAGGAGTCTGAATAAAGGAAATACAGATGGCTTAGAGGGGCTCGCCAAATCCTAGTTCAGGAAGGTCACATCCCACAGCCCTGCCACCTTCCTCAGCACTAAAGGCTTTCATCTCCCTCCCTTCAGTAGCAGAACTGGACGGAGTTTTCATCACAAGAAGGTTAGAATCAAGCTGGCCTCCCCCTGCACCCCTACAGGAAGTTGCTCCCCAAACACGCACCAGCTTGGCCCCCTTCTTGCGGCCCAGGGGCAGTGCATAGTGGGACTCGTACCACTGTCGGTACGGTGTGCTGTCGATGAGCACAATACAGTTCTTCACCAGGGTCTTGGTACGGACCAGTTCGTTGTTGGATGCATTATAGACAACATCGATTATTCTTGTCTTGCGTGTACAACCTGCTCACAGAAGAAATCCAGAATCAAGCCAAGTAAACCTGATGCCAACAATCTTCCATTCCCACCCTAGTAAGGCCTAAGAAGGGAAACTCTAAGCCCCATCGGGCCATAGAGCACCAGTTCATCTTCCACAAACCTATCTTTCCAGAGGTGGCTGGCACCCACACAGTCTTCAGATTCAATCCCAATCCCTAAGGCTATGCGAGAGTTAAGAGGCAGGACAGGATTGGAGATAAGTCTCCACAACCTCAAAGCTGTTCAACAGGAGAACTTTAGTATCTTGGTCCAGGCCATGGACTTCCTGCTAAAAGCACTTACTGAAGCTTGAAAACAAGGATTAGGTGCTGAGTTCCCACCCACGCCTGCAGGGCTTCACTCACACTCCGAGCCCCAGGAGAAGTTCCCCACGTCCAGCCTCAAGGCCCGGTACTTCTTGTTGCCTCCCCGCACACGGACTGTGTGTATGCGGCGGGGGCCAATCTAGAAAACACAAGGAGGCAGGAACTAGGTTATCAAGGAGAAGCAAGACAGAGAAGGGAACCCGGGCGCGACGGAGGTAACAGTCAGTGTAACTATGACAAACCCTAGCATTGGCAAGTGGTACATAGGTGACCAAGACGGCCACAGCCACGCCTAAGGATACTTTTTCATCATTCCAGTCACCTCCAAGAGAGAAAGCCCGATTCCAAACATTGAAAATTACGGCTCGGTGCACTGAGGAGCCCACTCTCCAGGCGCCCTTGCAGGTACTACTAGGACACGGGGGCAGTCTCCATGCAATCTCTCAGTATCGACCCAACACGCGAAGGCGAGGAGACCGCCTAGTCCCCACAGCAACTCGCAGAGCCCCACAAAGATTCAACCGACCCCGCAGAAGCGACCTCCCGGGCGGTGAGGACCCGCACGCACCTTTGTGTTGGCAGCGGGGCGTCCCAGCTCATACTTCCGCTTCTTGTGGTAGGGCTTTCTCTTGCCCCCGGTCTTACGGCGCTTGTGCCAGTTGTCCCGAGAGATGCCTGCGTGTGGAAGTGGGGGGCGGGAGCCTGAGCCAGGGAGCCCGGAGCCGAGGCCGCCAGCCCAACGCCCCACGCTGGCGGCCGCACGCTCAGCTCTCCAAGGTTAGCTCCCCCACAGGGCAGTCGGGAGATCACAGCATTTCCAAGGTGTCATCATGCACGTGCGTCGCAGCCCAGACCCTTCCCGTCCCGACCCCGGCAGCCATGATGGTGTCGCTCGCGGCCCCGAGTCCTGCGGCTCCAGGAATGGCCCCTGGAACGGTCCCGGCGGCCCAAGCCCAAGCACCACCCTCCTCGCGGGGGTTCCGTGTCCGGGGGCCCGAGGGCCCGGCCGCCCGCGCTGCCGGCTGGGCCCCGAAGCAGGATGGCGCCGGATTGAACTCGCTCCCCGATCCCGGCCCCGAAGCAGAGCGCCACTCACCCATCGCTCGGCGCTGGCTGGAAAGAGAAAACGCAGCGCGTCACGGTCCGGTTTGTAAAACGTAGCCCCGCCTCCTTACGTATCTTCCGGGCGCCGAAGAGAGCGGCTTGGGGCGGGAGGGCGGTGTTGCTTACGTTTCTGAGGCGGCGACGAGGCCTCTGGCTTAGGGGGTCCTGAGAACGCTGGGCAGCGGGGGAGGGCCGTGCGGGGATCTCGCGGTGTCGGGTATGCGTGAGCGCCTCCGCTTCCAGGGCACAAACGCCGGCGAGGGTTGCCTGGCTTTATTTACGTTTGGAAAAGACCCGTTTTAGGTAAGAGCTGTGGGTGCGGGAGCGTTGAAGACAGTAGAGGGGGACTTTGGTTTCGTTTGATTTAGGGGAAGGGAGGTGTGTCAAGGAAGTGTGACCCGTTGGATGGATATTGGTGCCACTTAGTGAAAAGGGGGTACGCTGAGGTAGGAGCTGGTCTGGTTTTGTTCATTCTGGTCTCTTGGTGACTCCTGCACGTGGGAATGACAGGCAGCTGGGTGGTCATGTCTGGTCATCCATAGAGAAGGGATCTGGACCGAAGATGCTGCTTTGGGAATCCTTGGCATATACGTGGTAACCAAAGCTACCAGAATGAATGGAAGCTAGGGAGAAAGCATAAAACTTCTTGGAGACAAAGAGTTAATACTTTGGCCTTTGTGGGCTCTAGGTTCTGTGTCACTACTACTCAGTTTTGCTGCTGGAGTGTGAACACAGCCATAGACAATAGGAAACGAATGGATGTGACTGTGAGTCAATAAAATTTAAGGGATACTAGCATTCACTTGTCATGAAACGTGCTTTTGATTTTTTTTCTCCCAGCATTTGAAACAAAAACCGGGACTTCCCTGGTGGTCCAGTGGCTAAGACTCTGTGCTCCCCACATAGGTCAGGGAACTAGATCCCACATCCCATAAGTAAGAGTTTGCACGCGGTAACTAAAGATCCCGAGTGCCACAACTAAGATCCTGTACAGCCAGATAAATAAATATTGAAAAACAAAAACAGGAAAACAATTCTTAGTTCACGGGCCCCATCAGCATACAGTAGTGGGCCAACTGGTGGTACACAAAGAAATACTGTACACAAGGAGGGTCTGGGACCAGGGCTTGAGGAATGACAACATTTAAGGCCAGGTAGAGAAAAGGAGCTGGAGGGAGCAATTAGAGTGGCCAGAGGAAAGCCAGCCACAGGATGAGGTCATTGCCTAATGCTACTGTGACATCTAGTTAAAAGGAGGACTCAGTTCAGTTCAGTAAGCTCAGTCGTATCTGACTCTTTGAGACTTCATGGACTGCAGCATGCCAGGCTTCCCTGTTCATCACCAATTCCCAGAGCTTGCTCAAACTCATGTCCATCGAGTCAGTGATGCCATCCAACCATCTCATCCTCTGTCATCCTCTTCTGCCTTCAGTCTTTCCCAGCATCAGGGTCTTTTCCAATGAGTCAGTTCTTCGCATCAGTTGGCCAAAGTATTGGAGTTTCAGCTTCAGCATCAGTCCTTCCAGTGAATATTCAGAACTGGTTTCCTTTATGATTGACTGGTTTGATCTCCTTGCAGCCCAAGGGACTCTCAAGAGTCTTCTCCAGCACCACAGTTCAAAAGCATCAATTCTTCAGCGCTCAGCTTTCTTTATAGTCCAACTCTCACTAGTGATTATTCGGTTGAGTGCTACATTGGAGTGGGGAAAAATTTGAAACTGGATTTTTCAAATTCAAACAGGAAATTTAAAATGATACCATATATGTAGATAATTCCTTTAAGAAGTATGACTTTAAAGAGGAGGTGAGAAGCTAGCTGGTGGCTGAAGAGAAACTCAAGCAGAGGGAAGTTTTTCAATAAGTAAAACTGCCTGATGAGATTCTTTGGCATTTGGCTCCAGATCCTTGTCCCATCCCATGCTGAAAGGATTCTCCCAGCATTATTCCATTCTCTCTTCTGTATCTTCAAACTTCCATGGCTTCCCTGCACATTCAGAATAAAATCTAAATTCCTTATGGCCTAGGAGACCTAGGGGTATTGGACCCTTGCTTATCTCTTTGCCTTATCAATTTGACCTCATCTCCCACCCATTCCCCTCCCTCACCTGCAGGCACTCTCACCCTACTGTTCCTGGCTCCGGCTTTCCTTCTCTTGACTGAAAAGGCTCTTCACCTAGGTCTTAGCTTGGCTTCCTCTCTCACTTCAAGTCTCTGCTCAGAATCTCACTACCACGCCTAGCCCTCATATACCTTTTCTGAGCCTGCTTTGCAAAGTAGCAACACTATACTAACATTGTTTTTACATGCTTATTATCTCTCTTCCCACTATAGTAAGCATGAGAGTAGGAACTGTGTTCACTACTGTATTTCCAACACCCAGAATAATGCCTGGCATTTAATAAGTACTCAATAAATATTTGAGTGGTACTCAAATATTTGGGCAAATTATTTTTCTGCTTACTACATTGTATTCAATGGGTTTTACCAGTAGATTGAAATCTTAAAAGAGTATAGTGCACATATGTCATACATCTCTCTATCCCCAGTCCCTTGGTACAAGAAAAGGCAATTATGTTGGACATAAAAAGGGGAAGTTGGAATCAAGGTACACTTGTTGGGTGATGGGATTTTGTGATAGACTAGATTATAGGGATGACAGAAGAGCAACATGAGGTTCCTCCCCTGGGAAAACACATTAATGGTGGAATGATATCACTAGAAAACACAGGAGAGGCAGGTTTCTAGAAAGTCAATCTTAGGATAAGTTTGAATTGCCTGTGGGACATATAGGTGCTATCTGTATTGCAAGTAGTTGAAAAGATGAGTCTGCAGCTTGGAAGAGAATGGGACTGATACTTCCCACCCCCACTCACCATGGTCTGACTCTATCCACCTAAGCCAGTGTCCACCCCATCAACTAGTCTATGTCACTCGAACATTAAAATCTAGTGCTGGGACTTCCCTGGTGGTCTAGTGGTCAAGAATCCTCCTTGCAGTCCTGGGGACTCAATCCTAGGTTTGGGAACTAAGACCCCATATGCCTTGGAGTAACTAGGAACAACTAAGCCCAGTGCACCACAGCTGTTGAAACCTGCACTCTCTGGAGCCTGCCCAGCTGCTGCAATGAAAGATCCTGCATGACATGATGAAGACTTGACACAGTCAACTAAATAAATATTTTTAAAAACCCAGTGCTATTTCATAATACAAACACTCAAAGTAGGAATAAAAGGAAATTTATTTAGTATGGAAAAGAGTAGTATACAAAGCCATAGCAAACATCATGCTTAATGTTAAAGGCTGAAAGATTCACTCCTGAAATCAGGATGGCCAGGAAGCTGGTCTTCACCACTGTTAATTCAGTAGTATACTGGAAGTTCTACCCAGAATCTTGAGGAAAGAAATAAAAGACATCCATGTGTGAATGGAAAAATTAAAACTGTCTATTCACAGAACACAGATCACATCATATTATATATAAAACTTACTATAACCCAGGTGGTACAGTGGTAAAGATCTGCCTGCCAATGAAGGAGATGTAAGAGACATAGGTTTGATTCCTGGATTGGAAAGATTCCCTGGAGTAGGAAATGGCCACCCACTCCAGTATCCTTGCCTGGAAAATTCCATGAACAGAGGAGCCTGGCAGACTACAGTTCATGGGGTCGCAAAGAGTCAGACATGACTGAATGACTGAGCACACATAAACATAACAACAGAAAATTATTTGAGCTAGTTAACTAATTCAGCAAAGTTATAAGAGATAGAATCAATTCACACAGTCTTATATGTATATACTAGCAATAAATAATCAGAAAAAATTTATGAAAGCAATTTCATTTTAAATGTCAACATTAATATTTAGGAATATATATTTAATCAAGATACAAGACTTGCTTTTATGTATGTAAAACTGTCTAAATTTGAAATTACTGGAAAATAAATTACTTTTCAAAATACCAAGTTGGGGCCAACAAGAGGCTGATAAAAAGTATAATAAAAAAATTTAAAAATTTAAAGAGAAGAAATAGGGACTTTCCTGTTGGTCCAGTGGTTAAGACTCCACACTTCCACTGCAGTGGGCACAGGTTCAATCCCTGGTCAGGGAAATAAGATCCATGAGGTGTAGCCTAAAATTAATTAATTAAAATTTTTTTTAAAAGGAGAAATAGAGGAAATGGGAATTTTTTTAAGTTCTCACATTTTCCTGAAAATCTAGAAAATTTAGAAAGTCATGTGTGTTGCGGGACTGAGTACATACCCAGGAGACTTGAAAACCCACTAATGTCAGTGAGATATGACTGACCAAGCTCTGCACAAGCAGAAAGTGAAGTCTATACACCATATGCAAATGGAATTTATTTCAGGTTTGCAAGTTTGGTTTAACATCTGAAAAATCAATTAATGTAATATACCTTATTAATAATAAAGTGGAAAAAACATATGATCACCTCAAAATACAGAAAAAACATTTGACAAAATCCAGTATCCTTTCATGATAAAAGCACCCAACAAATTAGAAACAGAAGTGAACTTCTTTACCTCTTAAAGGCACCTACAAAAAGCCCACAGCTACCATCATAATTAATGATCAGGGACAAGATAAGGATGTCCATTCTCACTACTTTTGTTCAGAATGACATTGGGTGTTTTATTCAGGGAAATTAGAAATAAAGAAAAGGAAAATAAAAGGAACATTAATTAAAAAGGAAGAAGTCAGACTATCTCTATTCAGATGACATGATCCTAAATAGAATAAATCCCAAAGAATCTACTAAAAAAACTATTAGGGTTATTAAAAGAATTCAGCAAAGTTGCAAGGTACAATATCAATACTCAGTGAGGGCAGGGAGGAGAGGAGATAAATTAGGAGTTTGGGATTAATATGTACACACTACTAAATATAAGATAAACAACAAAGATCTACTGTTTAGCACAAGGAACTATATTCAAAATTCTTTTCCTATAATGGAAAAGAATCTGAAAAAAAAATATA